AAAAAAAAAAAAAAAAAAAAAAAACAACCCAACAACAACAACAACAACAACAAACAGAAGATAAAAAATGCAACATAAAACAAAAGTATCAACAAATATCTCAATATATGAACCAGTGGGCACTAGAGGGTTAAAAACTTGCTTTGTTTTCCTGTCTGCAGGAGCCTCTGATCTATCTGAGAACACTGAGATGTTGGAAGATTGCACAGTTTTCAGATGAGTGTCAAAGCCATGGTGTATCTCATAGTCATGAAAAACCCTGGATTGTTTTGTTTTGGAAATACCGTACTCTTGTTTCAGAAATATGTGAGATAAGTTCCAATTGCAGCTCTTTCTTAAAGAGCCAAACTCACATTCCTTTTTTAGAAATTTGTCCTTTATAAAACACCTCAGCCTTTAGCATAGATTTTCAAGGATTCTCAAACCTGAAGCTTGCATTAAGTTCTCTAAAAGTTGGCAAAATCTCTGTTCGTATTAAGCAGTAACAGCTTGTGTTTTCTGATGTAATATATCAGATATGGGGCTTCAGGGTTGACAGGGTAGATACCTATCTGCTTCATGTTCTTTACGAACTTGAAAGGGCTTATTTTTTTCTATCAGGACACCTCCAACAGAAATAGACATACAGTACTGAGGATTTTTTTAAACATTGATACTTCAGGCTGGCGTCACGTTTGACATTTCAAGACCTGGAAAGGAAGCTGCAGAGAACATTTCATCTGCTTACTGAGCAGTTTTTTAAAATAAGCTATTGTTAACGTTTATCTGAAGGTTGCAAAATGACAGCCTTTATTTTAAGCTATTGCAGACTGAGATTTTTTATTTTTTACACTACATAATATATATATATATATATACCCCATGCCCACGGATAAAAACTCAGTCACTATCATTTTTGACAATTTATTTGGTAAGCAAACTGCCCGTCACTTCTGCCCCCTTACAGCAGAAGTTGATCTCGTTTTGATTTCAAAGCAGTTTTTTTTTGCTTCAGCTTATTTTCCAGAGCAGGAGACTTTTCTTCCCAAATTTGTGATGTAGAATTTTGATAGTTTTTTTTCTACATGGTTACCATTCGGCCACACTCGTAACTTATACAACGAGGTTGTGGTCAGAATGGGCACCTTTTATGCATTTATTGTAAACAAGTTTTCTATCTACAAGCGGCCTTCATCGAACTCATTCTCTTGCTATCACAACCACTGTGTCATGTTCACTTGTTATCACCAGCTACTGCCGGTGCAGTGGGGGAAGGAGGGTTCGTCATCCTTAACCACTTTAAACATTGAGGTGACCGGTTACCGTGTGTTCATTATCAATTGAAAAGGGCATGGGTCTGGTCTCTAAAGTGCTGAACAAGATTTGACCTATAACAGTATGCCCTGATTCGCAAATTATGAGGAATAATTTGATTGAAATATGTTCATTTCCTCACACAGTTATGTATGTAACAGTGTGAATATTGATATCATTATGAGATGAGAGAACAGATTCCGTCTTTTGGCACGTTTTTTTTAATGCGGGGCCCACGCGTGGAAGGTCTTGTAATATCTATCAGTATTTGTCTTACTCTGATTTTGAAATCACGTTAATGTGATTAAAAAGGGTGATGGATATTCTGTGACTTTCCATTGGCCGCTGCTTCTTCCCTCTTCCTGTCCCAAACTGTTTCCCTTTTTTTTCCGACTTCAGCTCTTTCTTATTTCTATCCTGTTGTAATATCTTCTGTCTGTCTTTCTCTTTCAAACGACTGTTATGGTGCTCTACCCTTACACGGGGACATGAGCAGGGTTATGTTGCTGGTAGAGGGACTGAGGGCCCACAAACGTGTCGGGTGTCACTTGGTGAATCACGATCAGCCTGAAGAAATCTACAGTGTTGTGTGGTGTCTGTCGATGTCGTGGTCCAAATTGTGACTGCTCAGTGTAAGACTCGTGTCATACGTCATTTTTCTATATGGCTTATGGCGGGGTCTTTCACTCAGCAAAGAGAGCTTGAGATGTTTTGATGGAAGGGAGGCCTTTGGTCTTTGAGGGAGGATTCCTGGGAAAGGTCATGGTCAGTGAGTGCTGGCTGTGCCCACCAGCGCCCCAGTGAATTCATCTTGGATAAGGAGTTATTGCTTCGTATTTCCATGTATTCATATATCTGTTTTATGGAGCGAGTGAAAAGTGAGTGCCTATAAATGTGCTTGTGATGTGTTTGTGTTTTGAGGGAGTGGGGTAGTTTTGTATGGTATGGGCCAAGATCACAATAATTGTGGTTGTGTCTGTAGTTTTGTTTTGTTTTTGGGGGGTTTTTTTGCTAATTTTGTCTTGTGAGGACTGAGAGCTTGTTTGTGGAAACTATTCACTTATGATTGCCAGTTGAGGAAAGGTTACAGATGGAAGGACTTGTCAATGTCATGCTCATACTGTGCCGAAACAATATAGGGGGAACTGCTGCTTTTTCTTTCCTCATCCTTGCTATCGTCATTTTCCTCTACTTCTTTTGTATGTTTGTCACTCTTGTGACCTGCTATTTCCGGGGTGCCTTGATAGTCAAAGCAGACTTTGTGCTGTTGAAGCTAGAGAGGTGAGCAGAGTAAGCCTGATTCCCCATTTGGACTTCTCTGTTGACACCCACCCCTTGGCGCTCATATGACCTTATGCAGTTGTGAGCGCCATAAAACCTTACTACAACAACAAGCAGATGGAAGGACATTAACTCGCATTGTTTTATTATGCGCAGAAAGTGGACTACCACCATTTTTTTTCCCTTTCCCTTTTTTAATGCGTTCTTCCAACTTATTACAATTTCAAGCATTGTGTGTCTGCGATATGCTTGTTGTGTATATGGCGGAGGGTGGAAGAAGAGTGTCTTGAGCCGTGTGAAGGTGGTCACAGTGAATGAGAGCAAAGATGTGTGGAAGAAGAGAAACAAAGAAAAGAGAAAAAAACACTGCAGCTGAAATTGTTTTCCAGTCACCACACCATTACACGCAAAAGTTGTGTTGTATTTTTTTTTGGGTAGAATAACTCTTCACTGCCTTCTCTTCAATCACGAAAATGAATGATGGACCATGAATTTGATAGACCCTTTCAAAAGTTGAGCTAAATCTTTAAGGCCAGTCATTTTATTTCAACATCAATCTTAATCCTACTATCAGTTCCTTGGGGGTTTTTTCTTTATCCTTGGTCATTGTCAAACTAAACGATGGTGTTTGGTTGTGTTGAGTACATGTCGGCAGGCAGCGGCACAGCAATCGTAACTCGGTTTTGCAAATTTTACAGGAGGAAGAAGGTATTGGTTTTTCATCACAATATCCATTATAACGTGTACTATACCATAGCAGGGAAGTTTACCACTGTCTATGTTTTTGATAATTGCACGACTCAGGGTTTTCACAGGGTATGCACACACACACACACACCCCCACCCCCTCCCAATTCCCCGTTTGGATTTCTCTGTTGACATCCACCCCTTGGTGCTCATATGACCTTATGCCATTGCGAGCGCTGTAAAACTTTACTAAAAACTAAAACAAATAGGGCATGCCTCCCTTCCCAGTGCCTTGGAATGTGTAAAAATTCAAAAATCTGTTTTTGCCACAGGCTTGAGTTACGTTCTGAGTTGCTGCCACGGGATGTTTGTTCCAACATGAGTCGATCAAGACCAAGTTCATTTCTCTCTGTCCTCATGTTACGTAAGTGAAGGATAAAACAAAAGTACATTATATCTATTACTATTATCTTCCAGAAGTTGAAGGTGAATCAGCTGGGACCGAGTTACAGCATGAAGATGGTTAGAGTACCGTTGCTCTCCCTAGAAAAATAGTCACTCTTTTTGTATTTTTTTAAATCAATTTTTTTTGTTTGCTTTCTGTGTAATAATACAGGGTCAAACACTGTTACTGTTAGGTCAGTCAGTTTTCACATGATGATAGTGATGGTATGAACTGTATCTGATGCTTTTATCTATTTAGAAATTATATTTAATCAGGATTATTTCAAGTGTGAAGACCTTCGAAATGACAATGTTGTTTTTCTCTCAATCCCGACTTTTGTGAGTTTACATGACAACGTCCCCAGTCGTCCGTTACTTCTCCGCCATTGATCTGCAGCTGGTGCTATGTAAACTCATGGCTCTTTACACAGTGCTGGCAATACTGTCGGCCGGCCTGTCATGCGGTACAGAAATAAAAAAGACTCAGCAGTGATGTTGGTTGTCCGTGTCATTTTTTTTCTTTGTAGAGTGGTTTTACTTTGTTGGTACTGTTCAATTGTATATGTGTGTGTGTGTAAAATATATATATATATATATATATGTGTGTGTATAATATATATATATGTGTGTGTATAATATATATATATATAAATGTTACATAATAATTACATTCGTAATGTTCAGTGGTCGCCAAACACAAGGATCCTCCCAACCATGAGTACTCAAAGCCACACACTCTATACATCTTACAGTATGGAGCTGTTTCTAGAGACAATAGGGAGGGTGCTTAAATAGACGGCATTTGCGGAGTTGATATAACCAGAAAGGTGACTATGGGCTTTGCCAAGGAACCAAATGTCGTACAGGAAATGTTCACACTTTTCAAGACGAATGAGGAATCATGAACTCATTGCACTATCCTCTGATAGCTTCTCGAACGGGAAAATGGTAGTCGTCGATGGAGCTATGCCTTGAGAATGTGGACCGGTGAGATGTAGGAAAGTCATTGCTGCAGACATTATCATGATTATCTATGGACAGACATCTCATGGGGCTCATCTACTGAATTCTGCACCCTGGTGACGTTTAAAAGGGTGCAAACGTTGTGTGTTTGACCTGAAGTGGTCATTTTGTCCGAGAATTTTTAGTTCTGATTCTCTACTGGTCCTAAATGATGGACCATTTCCACCCTTGACATCAAAGAAGGCCTTAAGGGCACCATGCCATTATTTCCGTACTTTATGCGAAACTTACAAAATGAGTTGGTGGTGAGGAAATGTTCAATACAAAAAGCTCTCTGCTTTTTTACTAATCTTAATCATGATCTCAGCAGGCAAAGGAAACTTGAGAAAAACTATCTGCAAACTCCTACTGGCCTTTTAGACAACTGTTGTAGTTTGCAATATAATGGCACAATCAGAGCATCATAAAATGGTTGGTTACACCTCTTAAAGCGTTTCTTGGGGATGGTATTAATCTCCTTTTATCAAAATTCCTAGAACAACGTAACTGTCGAGAAGTGTCGGCTCCATCAGCTCCCAGTTTGGTTTGTTTCGACCGCCTGTAACTGTACTGTAAGTGTAAGTGGGGGCTCACCTCCGTGACTTGCATGAGGATACACCAAGGGTCCCCGACTTTCCAGACTGCTACTGCTAAGGTGGATGGATTCAAGCTTGGAAGTGTGGGTGGTTGACGAATGCTCTAGTGTGGTTTGCTCCTTCTTTCCTATCAAACATCTATCGTCTTTATCTCTCCTCCTTCTTTTTTATGTTTGTTACTCTCTTGTAACACCTCCAATCTTCTGGCGCTCATATGACTTTATGCAGTTGCGAGCGCCGTAAAACCGCTACATGTACTAAAACAAAACAAAGAAAGCTTGGAAGTTTGAGTGTAATCCTGAAAGTTATTTAGTGCTGGAGAGATTTCATGTGGTATGGAAAGGGCATTTTGCTTAGTTGATGTCTGTGTTATATCGACGTAGCCTACTGGGCTGGCACATAGATAGATAGAGGAGTTTTTCAACCTCCTCTCGGAACTACTGGGCTTTGAAACCAACTTCCATAAATGTAGGATGCTCATTTTCTAGTAACTTTCGCTCAATTTCGACACCATTCCTTGCAGAAAAATGAAGAAGCCGCTTTGCTAAAGTTGAATGCCTGTTTTGGTATGTGCAAGTGCAATCATCACTGTTATTAGAAGTACGACATGTAGGCCTACTTTTGATAGCCACGATTTCCTTTTAAAAAGTTGGAAAAAAAATTTCACTCTCGTCGCCAGGCACCTTCTCCCTGCGCCAGCTGCCAGACGAAGACCATCACATCGTTCGTAGAAAGTAGAAAGGTTGGAGAGCGCAAAATCATTCGCCGCCGCTTTTAAATCATGTAATCTTGTAATATTATAGAGAAGACGTCTTGATTTATTAATGCCAAAAGGACATCTTGCAAATCCTTTCAACACATCAGATGTTTTTTTTTGTTCATCTTCACCTAAAAATTTGATGGCCATTTCCGTGTATATCGGTCTTAGCCTTCTGTGTGCTTACAGTGTTTCAACCAATTTTGTTTATCCTTGTTGCCTCAGTAATATTCCCGGTAAACATCAAATTTATCCTCTCGAGGACGGAACAAAGCAAAGTCGAGCTCTTCAAAAATGTGCTTCGTCAGCGGAGGGGCGCTGCTCCATTTCTGTTTAGTTTTAATTTAATATAAGTCAATAAGAGTATTGTGGCACTTGCAACACTATAAGGTCATAAGTACCGGAGATTACTTGTATTACAAGAGAGTAAAAAATGTAGAAAAGAAGGAGGAGAGATCAGGACGATAGTTGTTTGACAGGAAAGAAGAAGCAAACCACACCGGAGCACCTATACGGTATAGGTGCTCCGGTGTGGTTTGCTTCTTCTTTCCTGTCAAACAACTATCGTCCTGATCTCTCCTCCTTCTTTTCTACATTTTTTACTCTCTTGTAATACAAGTAATCTCCGGTACTTATGACCTTATAGTGTTGCAAGTGCCACAATACTCTTATTGACTTATATTAAATTAAAACTAAACAGAAATGGAGCAGCGCCCCTCCGCTGACGAAGCACATTTTTGAAGAGCTCGACTTTGCTTTGTTCCGTCCTCGAGAGGATAAATTTGATGTTTACCGGGAATATTACTGAGGCAACAAGGATAAACAAAATTGGTTGAAACACTGTAAGCACACAGAAGGCTAAGACCGATATACACGGAAATGGCCATCAAATTTTTAGGTGAAGATGAACA